CGTCAGGCGGGCGATACCGGGGCTGTCGGGGCTGCCCGTGTGGAGAGAGGAGTTATCCCGCCCTTACGCAACCTGCCCGCCTCTCACGGGGAGCCCGGGCTCTCGGCAAACTGCTTCTCTTAATCGAAACGGAATTGATTGATTTCTGGGCTTTCAAGGTCATCTTGAGAAGGTACATCTCAACCTCCTAAGCTTCATCTTTTTTAGATTGCCACAGCGACGTAATCTTCTGTGAGGCCTTTACGCAGGATTTTTTCGCTCTGCTTTTGTGAGCTGAGCTCGTGGTCAGAAAGGGAGCAGTGTGTGACACAATGTTGTAGGAAAATGCGTCTCTTATCTCCTCTTATCTCCTCGTCAGAATGCACAGGGGTAGGATTATCACACGACCCTGTAAATCAGTTCATTCTGTACATGTCTAATCGATGAAGGAAATGGAATATTGTGTGCCTTTGGTTGGATAAATTTTGGGTATTCTGAAAAACAGTAAGCTGCACATAAAACTAGATTTGGTTGAATTATGAATTATATTATAAAGTTCATGTAGGTTGAAGAATTTTGTGTATACAATCATACAGGGTTTTTTGTGGCTGTATTTGAGTTTCAATTTTGGATGATACTGGTATAGCTATTTGGTATGCAAATACAATTACTTAGTGATATTTCAACACTGGATATTCACTTCTTTCTCTAGAGATGACTGTTCTCTCAAGAACAGATTGCTAAGCCTTACAGTTGGAACATTTTCATTGAGTCATTTTGTCTACGGGGACACCTATGGGAGGCTGATGTGCAATATCTCTGGTTAATAAGAGGGAATAGCACTAAATTTCAGATGCGAGAAATGCATAGTAAGAAAATGCGTATGTCTGGGACAATCATAGTTGAAACAGATGTGAATTGCTGCAGAACACTGCAGTACAGCTGGAGCTGATGTGAAACTTCAGGAGGGTTTTATCATTAACACTACTAAACAGCGTGGGTTAGCAGAGCTGATAACCATCCAGTTATGCAGCATTCTGACCATACCAAGAGAATGTAGGACCATACCAAGAGAATGTAGTAGCAAGTTAGGCCCACACTGCGTTATAACATCTCAGTTTAGAGAAGATGTTTTTGGCAGTGCGGTGCTAGAATATACTGGCATTTTTAAATTAATAATAACTGTATAACGTTACTCTCTACAGACCTCTTCTTCCCCATTCTTACATGGCCTAACATGTAAAATAGGCGTTGTATGCAAATATTTCGTTAAAAAAATACAGGCTATATAGGTGTTACAGCAAGATGTGCGAGACAGATGATGTTTATAGTATGCTGAGTCACACAGAACTTTAATTTCAAGATGTTCTACTATTGTGACATTAGGAGCGTAAGTCCCATTTCACCCTGTTCTTGCCAAGATTGTGTGCTGCTTCTGTTAAGATGTAGCTTCCTGGAATTGTATAAACTACCTCTACATCTATTTTCCTGCATGTTCAAGCTTATTGTAGGTTGTGCGCTTTTCTCCACCTCCCACCCCACCCCTCCAATTTTTGTTAAATTGGTTTAAACTCTTTTTAACAGGATTTCTACAATTGGCCTGATGAATCCTTTGAAGAAATGGATAGTA